GCAGCCGGCGCTAGCTTTCTGTCATTCAGCAAAGCTCTCTGTGTGTGTCGGTCACGATTTATGTTCTGTGAGTCTTATTTATTGTTGTCTGTCCAAAAAAAGTGCACAAGCATTCAAAATATAAGCTCCAGCAGAAATAAAAGATGTCTAAGCAAAAGACAAAAAAGGCCGAAAGCAGATCGTGTTACAGACTGTGTGTTCCTCCCTGCCCATGCTACATCACGAGCGGGGATACACACAGTTTGTGCGTGGTCTGCTTGGGATCGGAGCACGCGGCGTCGGCTCTCGAGAGGGCCGACTGTCCGCATTGTGAGCAGTTGCCACTGCGGCAGCTGCGCTCGTGGGGTTCGCAGCTGGATCTGGTGGAGGGAATGGAGACGGGCGAGTCCCTATCTTCTTTCTCACCTGCCAGATCCACTGCCCGCTCGCTGGGATCGGAAGCCCGTTCTGCGGCTACTTCCCCCCGGAGAGCAGGCTCGGCGCTTCTCCTATCTTCCTCCAAGGAGGTTGATGTGGAGAGCGTCGAGGATTCACCACCTCAATCCCCACAATATGAGGAGATAATGGAGGTAGTTACTCGCACGGTTGCCAAGCTGAACATCGAGTGGCCTGCAGAGAAACAGACTGAACCGCAGAAAAGCAAACTCGACGAACGCTTTCTGCGGGCCAGGTCGCTACCTCCGCGCCGGAGCCTGCCGTTTTTTCCCGATCTCCACACCGAGGTGTCGAGATTGTGGAAGAAACCATTCTCGGCCCGTTTATTCGTCCCCGCCTCTGATTACTATGGAAATGTGGCGGGGTTGAGTGAATGCGGTTACAGAGCGATGCCCTGGGTAGAGCAGACACTTGCGAGCTATCTGTCACCCGGTGCGGAGTCGTCTCTGAAGGCTCCGGTCTTGCCCTCCAAGCCGCTGCGAACCACTTCAGCGCCGGTGGGCAAGGGGTACTCGGCAGCAGGTCAGGCTGGTGGCGGTCCTGACAGACATGAATCCAGGACTGCTGAGGGCGGCCCCTACTGGGGAAGAGCGGGGTACACCGCATTACACGGTGTCCGTCTCTCCTCAGCGCCCTCAGGAAACCGTTCTGCCAACCCTGCCAGTGTGCCAGGGCACAGCGGTCTCCAGCGAAGGTTTCTCTAGTTTTTTTCCGCCCGGAAACGTAGCGGAGCCAAGAGCTTCGCCACCCCTTCGGGGGTCTCTCAAGCAGCTAGTTCGGCGATCTCCTGCCGGTCCACCGCTTCAGGGCACCCAGCTAGCAGCTCCAAAGACACCAGAGGCCAGTCTCGAGAGACTGGTTCCCTTAGTAAATTATTTAGCAGCGTGGAAACTACTGCCAAATGTATCTCATTGGGTCCTGCAGACTGTAGAAGAGGCTATCGCTTTCAAAGGGGTTTTTCTCACAGTAGTGGGCCCAGAGCAGGCTCTGGTATTAGAACAAGATGTCAATACTCTCTTGAGGAAGGAGGCCATCGAGGTGGTCCCTCCTCTCGATAGGGAGTCTGGGTTCTACAGCCAGTACTTCATCGTGCCAAAGAAGGATGGAGGGTTGCGTCCAATTTTAGATCTGCGGCTATTGAACCGCTCAGTCATGC